GCAGACTGTGGATCAAAATGGTTCGAGTCTTACCACGCACTAATGTCTGTCCTCATGGGATACGCACAAAACAGTGGGTACCAAGGGACAGGTTTGTTTTGTGCTACACATTCAAATGCTTTGCAAAACTATCAATGTTCCAGTCGTCATTGCTTACATGCCAATACATGTATAAATTGATTTTAACATTTCAATATTTTATAATCAGTTTGTACAACTGTCCTATGAGAAGTGCAATGTGGCACAGGGAGATAATTTGCATCATAACCATGGCACATAAAGAGTTAATAGATCTTGCATTCAATCACCTTGTTACCATCATGCGATGCTAAATGTTGTATCGCCTCGACGGCTTCAACGGCGAACTGATCGTAATTAGGCGAGTAGTGATCGGATTTCTCACTGTCGTCTGCTAACGTTCTTTGGAGGACGTCGACCATGAATTCAGCATTCTTCGGGCTTGTATTCAAATTCTCGTTCTCCTCCTCGGTGACGATGTAGGCGAGAATATGCATTGCCTGCCAAATAGGGACGTAATAACACGATTAAAAAAAGCCTTTCAAGGACTCAACTAACGGATTATTTCAATGCGATAACTACATAAACCATGGTCGAATGAATATGTAGCAAATCGTTTTCATGTAAATGTTTATGCACACGTTTCTATGGGTGACACACAACGCTACTTTAATTCCCCTATGTTGATGTTTCCGAAAGTCTTCACGATCATGTTAAATGAAATGCTCTTTATAAACGAAAAACTAAGAAACACTAAGCATACTTTCTAAAAAATGAAAACATCGACAATCAGCATTATAACCTTAATGAAAAACCAACAGTTTGCTAAGTGACCTCTTGATTCGCACACTTAGGTAGCGTTTGAACACACTAAATTCCTACAGTTGCAGCTAGTTCATACCATGATAATGATATCAATAATAGCCATGGTGATGATGATATCACCTAATAATTATATTAATAATGATAATGATAAATCTTTGGAAATGAGCTTCAGAAACGCACTCTACAGACACCTACCTTGGCTCGGAGCACGAAGGAGTGACTCTCGAGGAAAGTTTGGATGTAGATTGCAGCATTGTGCTTTCGTAACACCTCTCTATTGTCGGGATAGTTCCTGAAATGGAGAAAAAACTCATTTGTTTGTTATGGTTGTTCTTTTTCTTTTAAGGGTATGTTTTGCAATGAAATGCGATTACATATACTTGCGAAAAATCAGCCCATGGGCGATGCAATGCAATAAAGTATTTCTTAGCATTTATGCTATTATGTCTTGTTATTACTAACAACAACAAAAAGAGTGTATCTGCTGGATGTAATTTTCCTTCTGTTTTGCAATAAACACTGCATTGTAAATTGATTTATACGGTATATATGTTTACAAAAAGAATGTTAATTTGTCACATTACAATGTAAATTGATTTATATGATATATATGTTTTCAAACAGAATATTGATGTACATCAATGAAGTTTAATAAATACAATACAATTCATGTTCGGATTACGTAATATGTAATTGTTGTTCGCAGATCTCAGAAGGTGATGGAGAATTGAGGCTTTTGAAATCTATTTAGATCGTTTTTTAAAGTATTTGCAATCGTGTTATATTATCGTACTGTGTCATCAAGCTAGATAACTATAGACTTTCAAATGACTGGGAAAATAATAATTATTACCACCACCATCACCACCACCATCCACATCATCATCATCACATCATCATCATCATCACCATCATCATCATCATCATCACTACCACCATAATCATCATCATCATCACATCATCATCATCATCACCATCATCATCATCATCATCACCACCACCATAATCATCATCATCATCATCATCATCATCATCATCACCACCACTATCATCATCACCATCACCACCATAATCATCACCACCACCACCACCATCATCACCACTACCATCATCACCACAACTACCATCATCATCATCACCACCACCACCATCATCATCATCATCATCAACACCACCACCATCGTATCATCATACATCACCATCACCACCAACATCATCACCATCACCACCATCATCATCATCATCATCACCACCATCACCGCATCATCCTCACCACCACCACTATCATCATCACCACCACCACCACCATAACCATCATCATCACCACCACTACCACCATCATCATCATCATTATCACCACCACCATGACCACCACCACCACCACCATGACCACCACCATCATCATCACCACCATTACCACCATCACCATCATCACCACCACCACCACCACCACCACCATCATCATCACCACCACTACCACCATCATCATCACCATCATCATCCTCAGCCTCACCTCAGTCACACCAGGGCCCTGTTGTAATCTGATATCATTTTTTTTCAATCAATGTTTACCTGAGACAATTGTATATGATACTAAATATCTTCTTCAAGAACTCCTTTCGAGACATCCATCTCGTTTTCTCATCATCTCCGTTGATGGCGTCACACGAATAGAAAGGATCGTTGAGTATCGATAGCAGGGCGGGAAGGCATCGCCTGCCCATATCCGAGCATAGTGTTTGGTTAACCTCGGTGAATCGTTGAGTAGCGTCCAAGAGGAGATTCACCGCAATATATTGACCAGGATATGTTAACTAGAAGGGGGAAACATAAAACGAATAGAACAACCCAGAACGGTAATGGTTAATATGTGGGGTACTTCACTGATGTCACTTCGTATCCATTGCTGTCATGTATTTTTAATTGCGACATCTTCAGTGAAGGCGTACAAGCGCTCGTTCAGATTCTTGTACTCAAGCCAGTGGCGTACGCAGGATTTTTTCAAGGGGGGGTTTTAAAATCGGGTCCAAATTTTCGCAACAACTCGGGAAAATTTGAAAATCGCGCCGGCCAAAAAGTCGCTCAGTGGAGTGGGGGGGGGGGGGGGGGGGGGGGGGGGGGGGGGGGGGGGGGGGGGGGGGGGGGGGGGGGGGGGGGGGGGGGGGGGGGGGGGGGGGGGTAAGCGGACACTTTTTTTTTTTTTTTGGTCTCGAAATTTGAAAATTTGACATTTTGCTCCGTTGGGGGGGGGGTAAGGTCATCTTTCTTAGGTCAGCCATGGGGGTAATTTTTTTTTTTTTTTTTTTTTTTAAATAATTAAAAAAAAAAAAAAAAAAAAAAAATCAAAAGGGGGGGGGGGGGGGGGGGGGGGTTTAGGGATTTTTTTTTTAGGGGGGTTTACACACACAAAAATACCAACACACCCCCCCCCCCCCCCTGCGTACGCGCCTGACTCAAGCCAATCATCAAGAGCGATATTCAGGCGATGCATCGTGGGAAATGTCTGTCGACACATCTGGACACCTGTGAGCAGCTAGCAGATGGAAGTATACGTAAATCTGAAAAAGTGTCTGTACAATACTCTGCCTTTAAAGAGAAGGTTGGGTTATGAGCTGAACACATATTTAGTGTTGGGGGGATGAGTTTACTCGATCTCTTTATTATAAATTCAGTTGAGAATATCAGGGAATCGTGTTGTAAAATAAAGTATTATATTATATTTCAAAATGGGCTTAATTTTTTAACACTAAGTACTCAAATATACTCCATCCCTTTAAAGGAAACATAATCCCCAATTAAATTTGGCCATTGTAGAAAAAATAAATTGCAAAATTTGGGAGAAAATAGACTTTTAGGCCAAACAAAATTAATGTAACATGTTCATTAAAAGTGTACCAATCGCCTAGAAAATACTCTAAGGGAGTAGAATATATAAAAATCAACCTTAACAAAAACTTAACTGGCATGCTATGGGTTTTGAAGGAAATAAGTAATGATAGGCCCTATATAAAATCCCTAAGTCTATGCGATCGCGTTCGAGTGCGTCACCTAGTCTATTCGTTTTTATGTCAACTTGATCAGAATGTATTTAAACTGCCATATTTCTCTCCAGAAGGAATATTATGTAAATCTCATATTTTTGAGAAAAAAACGTATAGTGACATTAAACCCATTAAATCATGAGCAAAACAGGTTGGGGTGATTGTTGATTTGTTTATTTATTTCTGTTTGCTTTTCTTTTTCTTTTGCATTTTTACAAATAAATAACAAACAAAACATTGCGAATTTCACACATTTCAAAAGAATATAATGTCGAATAAAGTAAGGCTGGCTGTAACTAATCGAAAACATCAAACAGAAGGGTTGGCAAAGTAAGCGAAGCTTGATAGCATGACTACCCTCAATGGATACATAACAATACGAATATGGTGGAACAAATATTGGTAAAAGAGGAAAGAGAGAGAGAGACAGAGAGAGAGAGAAAGAAAGAAGAAAAAAGAAAGAGGGGGTGTACATCAAGATTCACAGAATGTAGTACAATGTATAGTTGGATTTCAATTTGATATATGAAGATTTTTAAAAAGAAGATGCACATTTGAATAGTGGGTGACCAACTTGGGATACATCATAGAATGAAAGGACTACGAGGTTTCTGGACAATTATGAGATGTGAAATTATTACCAAGTAATAATACAAAATATATTAATAATAATGATAATGATGAAAAGATATTATTGGTACACTTTAATCATGGGAATATTTCACCGTTGTAACATTTCTTTTATGATTATAATCATGAAGTAATTAGTACATAAAATCAATATAGTTCAATCTCTAGCTCACCTGGTCTTTAATGTCTAATTGATTGAGCTTCAGCCAGACCGTCGCGAAGAAGTCAGAAAATCCCTTTTCGGTTGCAATTTCCGCAAATTGGCAACTAATCCGATCAACTCGTCCGATAGCACTCAGCTCACGAAGATTCATAAGTACATTGACCTCAGCAAAGGACTCGGCCTCTAAGACAGCAGTCATTATCCTTTCCGCAAGCTGAAGTTATTAACAAGTAATAATACAAAATATATTAATAATAATGATAATGATAACAAAATAATAACAATAACAATACTGATGATAACAAAATAATAATAACAATAATGATAATAATTACAACATCATCAATAATAATTATATAATAATACGATTTATATAGCGCCTTTTCTAGAGGGTATATAACCCACGGACCCTCGTATTAGTCTATAAACAAATTGAGAAGACTCGTAGAAGTATGTCAAATTTTCCGATGTTTCTTGCAGAAGTCAATTGAAGTTTTACCTTACCTTTATCATATTCTCTCTCTTGTCACCATTTTCCTCTTTTTGATTGTTGTTCTTCGATCGGAATCGGCTCAGGGTAACGCTATCCGAAAGATGCCGATGGCACATCCCGAAGTCCTCCGTCATGAATCGGGAAACATCGGTACTTCCAGCTTGATGTATTCGGGTGAGTTCGGGGAGATTTGTTGAGTCAAAACTCATTTCAGGCGTACTTAGCAGGTTTCCTGAAAAAGATGGCATCTCTCCAAAACCAGCCATCGTACCTCCTGACCCCATGGACATCTTCCTAGTCGTAACTGTTGTCGTCATCATCTGTGAACTACCGTCTGATGAAATCGGTCCTTCCGATGTCGATGTTTTCGTCGTCACGGTCATCCCCGCCCCTTGACCGGTAGCCGACTTGGAAGCCGCCGCCATCGTCGCCGCCAGGGCTGAGGCAACGGACTCGGCTGCATTTGCCCCAATAAGCCCGGAACCGATTTGGCTAGATCCCGATGACGCGGAATATGAACTCGACATCGATGGTAATCTTGTTGAATTAGACATCATCGACATCGAGGATGAAGCGCCACTTCCACCTCGCATTTGCATCTTCTGAGGTTTGCCATCCCCCTTTCCATTGCCTTGGAATCTGGTAGGCTGTCCACCGCTTGACATGGTACTTTAAAACTATGAATCTTTCAACCAATAAACACATACAATTTTCAAATCGCTTCAATCAAAATACCAGTTTATTACTCATCCACTCCTGCCGATAAGACTTTTCATCGTTTTATCACCAGTTTTTTTTTTTGAAACACCGCAGCCCTTACATACAAAAATTAATTAATAAACCAACACAAATTAATAACCCGCAGCGATGAAAATGACAGCATTTAATTTACAGTATGTGACACAGAATAGTACGTTGCTCCAACACAGTTAAATCACAGTCGATTATGAACTAACAGATACGAAGATGTCTAGAGCTATATTATGTCCATTATTGTGCAGCTATATTCCATGTACGTCATGCACCTTCATCACACAGACTAATGCAATGCCGGGGAACGGAATACTTCGCGAATCATCTTCTAACCTGATCACGTGGTGCACATGTTATCTTGCTGAAAAGAAATCACAAATTCAAAAAGTTTAGCGCATCGAAATAAACCCAGCAAAAGACAAAATATTTGTTTCCTTCTCAGGTGAAAGATCTTCTTATTAAAAACGTGTAAGAAATGACGAGAGGAGAAGGCTTTGCAGGGTTTCCTAGACAAATGAAATAGTTGCTTGATATGAGGTCACGGAATCAGCGCTATGCCCTCTGGTATCTCGGTAATGAGACCCCTGGCGGATTTAGGGTGAGGGTGGGGCACAGCCGCCTCCCACCTTTGAAACCCAAGTGGCATGCCTTTAATACCCAACTTCAAGAATGCGGCCCCTTTTGAGATGGCGAACTTGAAAAATAAAAGTCCGGATGCCCCCATTTTGTTTGTTTGTTTGGGGTGTCAGAATTAATTTGTTAAAGATTATTGTGGCCCCTTTTTAGGAAACACTAGATCCGCCCCTGATACTGGCACTGCTCGTGTTAATTTCGGAAACGTTTAACAGTACGTCTGTACACGTAAGCACTTAGGGGAGGAAAAAGGGACGCACGTACCCCCTGAAACTAGGAAGTATCCTTTTAAACACAAGACAAGCGAGGCAATCGTTGTAATAGTAATACTGCTAAATGACGTAATATAAAAAGCAAACTATACATGTAGTTTGCGCTTGTTCACTTTTTCCAAATACCAATAAAAACTGCTCGTATAACTTGCACTCACAGGAGAATTATCAAAGATATAAATTAAACGTAGAAAGAAAATCAGATGGATGTGGAAAGGAGAAAGAGAGAAAAGAGAGTTTGTGTGCGCGTGTGTGTGCGGGGGTGTGGGTGTGTGAGTTTGTGTGCGCACACGCATGAAAGAGAGAGAGAGAGAGAGAGAGAGAGAGAGAGGGGCATAGTCAAATAAAGTAGTGTAATTAGTAGACGAAAAGGTATATCACACACGGATTGTCTAATTTGCTTACTACTTTATTTGTATATGTATAGAGATATAGCGTGCGTGCGTTGTGTTTGTGTGAGAGAGAGGTATAGATAAGAGAGATAATGAGAATCAATCCCTATAATTTCCTATACATAATTATGAAATGAAATCGTTTGCCTCGATTTCACCACGCCCCTCTTTCGCAATCATTACACGATCCACCCATCAGGACATCCTAACGTTGCGCTCTCTCGTATATGCTTGGTATGTTTAGTCACTTTATTATTACAGGTAATACACGTCACGCTAATACAAGATGACTCGGGGGTCATCAATACTAAATAAATGACAACGATATCTATTCAGAGGCCGATTACTCATCCCATCGCCATCAGCTATATTCTATAATTGATATTTCAGGAGGGTAACATCTGTTTGGAGCCAGAAGGGTGTTTACTATGTGTAAAAGGATATGATTTAAATGCCTTCTGGGTCCAACAGACGATAATGTCGGTGTCAGGTTTTGCAAGACGCATACACCCAGCTCCCTGCATAACTCTGGTACCTTACAGTGATTAGGGTAAAATTGAGCCGACATCCGTTCCCCCATCCACGCCCATTTGGACCCCACCCCCAACCTTCTTATGGTTGTAATAATTTCTTATTTTCAAAGAAAGGTAGACGAATTTTCACAATTACATTACCAGGTCCATGAACATATTCTGGTTCAAGACAGGTATTAATGAATCTTACAATATCAAAAAGAAAGAGAAAAATACAAAGATGCAATAATTAACCCTAATAAGGCCGGGCTATTTGAAGTCTTACTACGGCCGGGGGGGGGGGGGGCCATTATGCCCCCCCCCCTAAGATCTCGGCCGTGAAACGGCCGATCTCCGCGAAAATTTGCACGCATGTCAAGTGAAGTGTATAGAACAATATGATAATTTCAATTTTTTGAAAAAAATCCCTCATTTGCATATTTATGGTAATTTATGCAAATAACGTCATAAAATCACATTTTTACCCATAAATCCTATATTATTCATATTTAAGCATTCTTTTTCACTACATATATTTATTAGACCATTTGGAACAATAATTCAACAAAAAAAAATTGGAAGAGCCAGCTTATTCCTTATGTTATCTCTTGTTTTGATAATTTCTTATGTATTTCATTGTTTTTTTAACTTATTTATGTTATTGTTTTTTTTTTTTTTTTTCATTTCTTCCTACAATTCAACTATTTTGACTCCCAAAACAACCACCTAAACTTTAAACAAGACCCAATAACCAATGTTTGATCTATTTTTAGGAAAAATGACATTTCCATATGTTTTGTACACAAATCACAAAAATGAGCGATTTTCGGGCTGACATGCAAAAACAAAAGGTCACGTGACCTTGTAACTATAGGTCCAATTTTTTTTTTTTTTTTTTTTAAAGATGCGCAAGACTCTAAAGAAAAAAGTCAGCGAGCGGCGAGGCGCCATCCATATGCGTTCTCGAACAATCAGAAAAATCGTGGAGGGGGCCTTATTAGGGTTAAATCATATGGCCATTAGTAACAACTTGTACTATCATGTAGATCATTTTAGTAAGAAGCGGTGGTACAGTATGGATTGGTCAAATGATTTATCGGTGGTGGGTACTATGTGATTAAATTAGGTGAGAAGGGAACTATTCCATGTTCATATGTCTTCCGGCCCTAACATAACGAACGATGGTAATATAATATCGTCACCCCAGATCCGACATCACATTCGAACATAATTATCGACCATGGTCTTGAATCAAGCTCTGTTTTCTTATGTGAACTTTATAATCACTATAGTTATGATATTTCATGCAAACTGGTAATTTCGTGTTGATTTTTTGGTTCAATTCACATTCCCTTGGTTCATTTATTTAATATATTTTTCTTTAATTATGACAAATCGAGAGGAAAAGCAAATAATTTGTGTCAATTTTCTTCAGAAGAATCTGAATTGCTATGGATGAGTTTGCTATCACGTGTTTAACAGAGCCCAGGCTGAGTGCATGTTGTGTATACAGTCATGTACACTGTCTTGGTATGCTGCTGTCGAAATAGATACCTGTGACGTCACACATGTATCATATTACAGGTTCTTGATGACGAGCGGAGAGGAGAGGGGGCTCATACGTTGTTCGAACTAGAACTGAACCCTGGGTCTGGTTTCTCGACACCGTCTTATAGGGCAAGTCAACTCCAAAAATAACCTACTCTCATTAGAAGCATAACAATCAGCCAAACCAATCAAAAAAAGTTTGAGCAAAATCGGATAATTAGTAAGAAAGTTATGAATTTTTAATGACATGAACAACTTTAAAAATCACAAGACAAATTGGCAACTTACTCACTCGTCATCACATATGGAAACGCGTTTTAATAAATTCGATATCACGCGTTTCTCTGCCATGGAAATTCCACGATATTAGACCATATTATTGACGGTTTCGAAAAAAATGGCCCCTGATTCTTTATTGGATTTTCCTTCGAGACGATGCTATAACAGCCGGTTTAATATATACGTGTACATTTTCTTTATATAAAAGTCATGTACGACATTATGTTGTCGTCTGAATGTACAGAGAGGGAGAGAGAGAGAGAGAGAGAGAGAATAGAAAATGAAGGGGAAGGGGGTAGAAAGAGGAGAAAAGAATTCAAGAGAGTGTAAAGGATGGAAAGAAAGAGTTAGATATAATCACGATTATAGGAGAAACGTTACGTTTTATTGTAAATGAGCTGAACAGAAATGCAGGAAAAAAAAATCAATGTTCAGATTGATTAGTTACTTTGTGAGGTCAATTCATACGGAAAAACTGGGTGACTATTTTGGGACATGCTCCGAGACTTCGTCTTGATAAAGACTTTTCAAAGTAACAGTTATTTTCTTCCATTTCTAATTTGTAGACCACAAAATACTCAAGTAATAACTTTGTACATAATAATAATGACAAAAAGTATTTAACACAGCATAATATATTAACAGTTCAAATAAGACAGTTACTTAATTACTTTAATGCTTTTTGAAGTTTTACGTACATGTACAGAAAATTCTATAATAATAATACGAATGATATAGGAGTCACATTCTTTTGGAAAGCGCTTGATACTATGTTTCTGATTGATTTAGTTTGTAATTATAATTATTATTACCTCATGATAGCGCACTGGCTGCATGATCTGCTCTCTGGGGAGTTTACCGGCCATGCAGGCGCCATTTCACAAGCGAACATAATGCAATCCAACCACATTAACGTTCGCATCCTAACGGTTCCCCCATTTAACACCTGGGTTGAGAGTGGCAAGTGCAGATCAATGACTCAGTGCCTGTGGGACTCGAACCGCAAACCTGCAGATTGCAGAGTCCGGTGAGGAATCCACTAGTCTGACTAGACGACACTATAGGGACTTTTAGATTCGCACGAAGACAATGGGGATTGCTACGATCGACGTCCTTTTAATGCCCTGCCTTGAATGGACGTCACACCTTTCAAATCTAAAAGTCCCTATTGTCATCTAATCAACCAATGTCGACAATAATTCTTCACAGACTGTCTTACTCTGCCTTCAATAAACTTGAGGTTCGTGTCTGAATATAATTATACAGGGCAGCGTCT